AATGAATAGTAGAGCCCTGTAAGCCGGGTCCTATAGACACAGAGATTATTACAGCAACGTAGGAGCCTGAGTGAGAGCTACATGCCAGGGCAGTGGGAACATGGAGGAGGGAGTGCCAATCCCTGCCGGGCGGCACAGAAAGGCTTCCCTGATAACACGCGAGCTGAGTTCTGCAGATAGAGAAGGGAGAGAGGGCACTTCGGACAGAGAGGACAGCAGGTGCCAAGGCCCTGGGGGAGAAAGGGAAGCAGAACTAACCAGAAGCCTGGAGTCTAATTCTGAGTGGATTTTACCCTGTTTCTTATGATAGCTATTTGTGTCTTTGTCTGCGTCCCCAGCTAGAATGGCAGTGCCTTATGTGAGTGTGTAAGATAGGGCGGGGTATGGTGGCCTTTGCCTCATTCAGGTCAGTGTCCCCAGCTCAGCACCAGCCTGGCAGTTAGCAGGAGCTCAATAAATGGTTATTGGATTGAACTGAATGCTTAAGGTAAATGTGGGGAGGGGACGTGGAGAGAGGGGAATTGATGCTGAGACTTAATCAGAGCTCAGAGGGACATGGGCCTATTCAAGCTGCCGGAAAATGGAGAGTGATGAGGAGTTCCAGCAGCAAACACCCCTGTGGCCTGAACCATGGCAGGGGGTGGAGTGGGGGTGCGGGGTGCAATTGGAGATGACAAGCAACGTACCCCTGTGTGGGGCAGAGGATGACTGTCCCGCTCTCTCAGAGGCCTGTGGGTCATGCTAGAGGAGGCGGGGCAGCCCAGAGTCCCTATGGGTCTGGCGGACCGAGGGACACAGAGCAGCGGCTACACTTACCAGCGCTGGCAGCTGCGTCCACGAAGGTGCCGTCGCCCCGGTTATGGAAGAGGAAGTTGGGCCCATTCTCGTTGTCACAGAAGATATCCGAGGCACTGCTACTGAGGATGGGGCCCACGCTGACACCCCGGCCCCCTGAGAGGACATGGACCACAGTCAGTGGCAGAAGCAGCGCCCCTGTTCTGTGTGGAGGACTGGCTGCCTGTGAAGCCTGCAAAAAGCCACACTGCGATGCCTCAGGAGAGCCTTCCAGAGGCTTCCTTGAGCCCAGATCAGGGCTTGAAGTCCCCCAAACCCATGTGGAGGGTGGCCACACGGATGTTGAGGCAAGGGAGGAGCAAGACCAAGTCACCTTGTGCTAAAGGAATGAGTCCATGAGCAGAGAGATGGCTGAGTTACCATAATCCCTAAACCCAGCTCTCACCATGCCTGACACCCCACCCACACCCCAAGTCACACAGATGTGGGGCGAGTTCCTGCTCTAAGAATTTATAGGAATAGGCTCCAGCTATCGGTGCAAATGCTTACCCTGCTTGGTTCAACATTGTGAGCGATTGGGAACAACCTGCATGTCCATCAACAGCAACTGGCTGTTGGATTATGGTACGCCCATATGGCGAACCACTCTGTAGCTACTAAAAAGACGGTGTAGATCCATATGTATTGACTTGGAGGAGTGCCCTTGACACATTTTAAGTAAAAAGCATTTCAGCCCTAGCCAGATGGCTCAGTTGGTTAGAGCATCGTTCTATACACCAAAAGGTTACAGGTTCAATCCCCCAGTAGGGGAGTGTATAGGATGCAACTGACTGATGTTTCTTTCTCATCTCTCTCTCCCTTCCTCTCTAAAAATCAATGGAAACATGTCCTTGGGTAAGGATTAAAAGGGGAAAAAAGCAATTTGCCAAGTAATTGTATTGTGTGATCTTACTTTTCTTAAAAAAAAGGAAAATACATGATTTTTCTGAACATGTGCGTGCAAACTTGTTCCTGAGTGTGGGAAAAGTGGGAAAAGCTGCACCCTGAGCCACCTTGGCCACTGGGTGGGATCAAATTTGGGGAAGGAAGAAAAAATGATAGTTGGCCTTTTTGGTGAATGTCTTTATATTGTTTAGCTTGTTCTAACAAGAATTGTTTCTTTAGTTTAAAAGAAAAACATCCAATGAAGTATACTAAAAAAAAAAAATCAAGCCAGCCAGCATTAAGATCTAAAGCCTCCAAGATCAAATTTGGGCTATCCGTGTCAACAAGTCCAATCTTAAGACATCTTGAACAAATCCCCCCAACTGGTGGGGTTCAAAAAAAGCCCTGAAAACCACACCCCAAACATAGGAAATACATGCAGAAAACAGCCTGACCAGGACCAGGACATGGGTTCTAGCCCCAGCGTGGCTTTTTACAAGACGTTGGGCAACTTGCGTTACACTTTAAGCCTCCGTTCCCTCATCTGCAAAATGGGAATAGTGTGACCTGCTTTTGTTGCTTCTGGGTTTTTTAGGGGATCAAGTGAGATGAGCTACATGGGAAGTCTTTGCTACTCAGAGTCAGGCTTTTGGACCCGCCGTGGGGGCATCGCATGGAGCTTGTCAGAATGCAGATTTCAGAATGGTCAGGCCTTGCATTCCAACAGGACCCAGGGGGTTTCTGCGCACAGCGAAGTCTGAAGTGCTAAAATGAAGGACTTTTCAGTGCAGAATAATTACACGGGAATCAGAAGAACTTGACTTGTTTTGAATAACAGAGAGCTCAGGCAGACACGAGTGATGCCGGGCGAGGCGCTCCCTGCCTGCTGCCTCTGGGCGCAGCAGAAGTTTCCACAAAGTGACTGTGCCAGCTGAGGATGTAGGTTTTCTTGGTCTCCGGGCCCCTCCTGTTCTCCGAGAGAGGCCCCGGAAGGACATCAGTGGGCCTTTCTCATCTGGGCACATAGGTGGAGCCTAACCACCAGGCCAGTGTTTGGGGACACGGGGCCTTGTGCCTCCCCATTCCTCCCGGGTAAACTGATTAGCTCTCAAAGAGAGCCCGAGCCTCATAAAAATTAAGCCACTAAGTCCACGGCGCTGCTGGGGAACATCATTCAAGATGCGGCCAGTGCTTCTCATTAGGAGAGCCCCAGTGCGGGGCGGGAAGCTTTCAGAAGCCGTTCCTAAAGCCAGTGGGAGGGGTGCTGGGCCACAACCTGGGCACCACTGCTGCCCATTCCGAGGAGCTGCTGAGTGGCTGTTGGCAGCTGTCCCTGCCCTGGCCCTGCCAGACTCCATCCAGCCCAGCAGCAGGCCTTGCCGGAGCCCCTGGAAATTCCAGGTGGGGCTCCGGGACTTGCCGCCATAACTCCATCCTTCTTCCCCCAGTATCCTCCAATTTCCTCTCCGCCTCTGGCTCCCAAGCTGTGACACATTCCCTTCATTTTCTACAAAGCAGGTTATTTCCCTCTTGGACAAATTTCTAAGTCTTTCTAATTAACTAATTGGGTTGGGTTGAAGCCTTCCACCATTTGTAACCTGTAATTACTAGAAAATTGCCATGGTAACCACACTACTAATTAGTGACAATTTATTGCCATGGCAATCAGACCATAACAGAGATGTTACCCACAACTCCTCCTTGGCAAGTTTGCTGCACAGTTGGGAGCAGGTGAGTTGACATTGGGGGAGCTGGCCTCTTGGGCACTGGCTCCAGCAGCCTCAGTTTGGGGGGGCGGGGAGGAAACCTGGGGGCTGAGGCAGGGGCAGCCAGATGTCTGTACCCCTCACTGGTGCCGCAGGGGAAACTCTTCTCCCAGGTCGATCATGTAAACCTCCTTTAAACCAATAAAATCTATCCATCCCAAGTGCAGCCTGACACTCCCACTCCCGGCCTGGTCAATGACAGAGGCCCTTACTCAGCAAATATCTTCTTCCTGGACCTTCCCTCCTGCCCAGCCTCCCCCTTTCTCTGTCACGCCTCCCTGTCCCCGCTTCCTAAGGTTTAGCACACACGTTATGGGGCCGCCCAGAGGGCAGTGAGGAGCATCTTTATCTGGCCTAGGAGAATGTGCCCCAATAGTGGTGTCTACCTGACATGGTGAATTCTTATCTACTGGAGGCAGGGTATCCTCTTGGGGACAAGCAGTTCCCCGTTGGGGCTGGGGAGGCAGCACTGCTGGTGGGAAAGACTGAGGGGCAGAAAGTTCAAGCTGTGTGACTTTGGGCACGTCACTGGGCCTTTTGGGGCATCTCATTTTCTCACAAGAGAAAGACTGATAATGACAATAGTCTTTGTCAGGGCTGTCCCAGCGGGTTTTTGGAAGGTACCCGGGAAAATGCCAGGTGCCACACAGTCATTAGCTGGGACTATTTCCCACCTGCTGGGTGAGTAAGGTCCCTTCCAAGTTCTCCTGGTTCTGCTGTTGGGTGTGGATGCTGCTCCCTGCCCACCCCTTCCTGAAGGCTTCTCCACCCACCAGGCGGGGTGAGAAGTGGAGTCACGGGAAAATGTGTCCCCACAGCTCCCTCTCCCTCCTGCCACATTCTGGCACCCCCTTTGATGATTTGCTCATTGGGCCTGAGCCCCATTCACCCTCAACTGTACCCCTCAGCCTTTGAACCCTGTACTTGGGTGATGCAGACTCAAGTCCATTTGGGGTATAGGTCATCCATCTCTCAGATCACATCTGGGTCAGCACACGGGGCCCCAGA